CCCCCACTCTCTCTCTTTCTCTCTCTCTCTCTCTCCTTCCTGCCACCATGTAAGATGTGTCTTGCTTCCCCTTCGCCTTCTGCCATGATTGTAAATTTCCTGAGGCCTCCCCAGCCATGCAGAACTGTGAGTCAATTAAACTTCTTTCCTTTATAAATTACTGTCTCTATCGATCCAAGATGGCCGACCACTAACAGCTCAGGATTGTAGCTCCCAGTGAAAGCCCAGAGAACGAGACGACGCCACACTTTTAGACAAATTTTCGTCACTCACCGATCAGCCGATTCCCAGTGGAGGAGCCCCACGGGTTGCCAGCGCAACTCTTGTGGCCACCGCAGTGGTTTTGCCGGCATCTCGGTGCAGCAGCTCTTCATGCAGAGCCAACGGGACTGCTTCCCCTACTGACCGGAGTTTGGAGCTCTGGGAAGTCAGAGCCGCTTGTTGCGGACTCAAGAGGGAAGCCAGACCAGAGATTCCCGGGCAGAAGAGCACCATCAGTCTTATCGCTGCTATTTAGGCTGCCACAGTGGGTTGCTCGGATCCCACCACTGGGAATCAGTAAGTCGGATGTTGACTCAGAAAACTAATTAGAAAGGCGGTTCATCTACAATGAAGGGAAAAAAACAGCCTAAGAAGGCCGAGTATACTCAAAATCAGAACCCATCAGCAACAGAACAAACCCTGATGGAAAAGGACTCATCAGCAACCGAACAAGTCCTGATGGAAAAGGACTCATCAGTAACGGAACAAGCCCTGTGTTCCATTATCTGAAGTAGGCTTTAATAGGTGGATGATAAGAAACTTCTGGGAGTTAAAGGAACTTGTTCTAACCCAATGTAAAGAAACTAAGAACTTGGAAAAAAGGTTAGATGAAATGTTGAAAAGAATAGACAATATAGAGAAGAATAAAAATGAACTTATGGAGTTGAAAAATACAACACGAGAACTTAGTGAAACATGTACAAGCTTAAACAGCCGAATGGATCAAGCAGAAGAAAGGGTATCAGAGGTCGAAAATCAACTTAATGAAACAAAACAACAAGACAAGAATAGAGAAAAAAGGATAAAAAGGAATGAGCAAAGTCTCCAAGCAATATGGGACTATGTGAAAAGACCTAATATACGCTTGATTGGTGTACCTGAATGTGACGGAGAGAATGAAGTCAAGCTGGAAAATACTCTCCAGGACATTATCCAGGAAAATTTTCTTAATTTAGCAAAGCAGGACACTATTCAACCCCAGGCAATACAGAGAACACCACAAAGATATTCCTCAAAGACCAACCCCAAGGCACATAATCGTTAGATTCACCAAGATCGAAATGAAGGAGAAAATATTAAGGGCAGCCAGAGAGAAAGATCAAGTTACCCATAAAGGGAAGCCTATTAGGCTTACAGCAGATCTCTCAACGGAAACCCTACAAGCTAGAAGAGAGTGGGGGCCAATATTCAATATACTTAATCAACAGAACTTTCAGCCCAGAATTTCATATCCTGCCAATTTAAGCTTTACATTTGAAGGAAAAATAAAATTTTTTAGGAACAAGCAAGTACTCAGAGATTATATTACCACCAGGCCTGCTTTACAAGAACTTCTAAAAGAAGCACTATACACAGAAAGGAACAACCAGTATGACCCTTTCTAAAAATACACCAAAAAGTAAAGAGCATTAACATAAAGAAGAATTTTTATCAACAAAAGGACAAAATAGCCAGTTAATATCAAATGGCAGCAACCCTAAATTTAAATCGACCAAGTCTCCCAATCAAAAGATACAGACAAAATTTAACGGTATATCCAAAGATATACATAGACTCAAAATAAAGGGTTGGGGAAAAAAAACGTACCAACCAAATGGAGAGCAAAAATAGATAAATAAAAAGCAGGAATTGCAATTTTCACATTTGACAAAATAGATTTCAAAGCTACAAGGATACAAGGATAAAAGGATTAATGTAATAATAAGAGATCTTAACACCCAGATACATAAGACCCATAATGAGATTTAGATTCAACGAGACAGAAAATTGATAACAATATCCGGGACTGGAACTAAGATCCAGAACAAATAAACTCAATAGAGCTCTCCATTTTAAACACACAAAATATACATTATCCACAAAACCTAACGATATATCTAAAGATATACAAAGACTCAAAACAAGGGGATGGAAAAAAACTCACCAACCAAATGGAGAGCAAAAATAAATAAATAAAAAGCAGGAGTTGCAATTCTCACACTTAATAAAATAGATTTCAAAGCTACAAGGATGCAAGGGTAAAAGGATTAATGCAATAATAAGAGATCTTAACACCCAGATACATAAGACACATAATGAGATTTAGATTCAACGAGACAAAAAATTGATAACGATATCCAGGACTTGAACTCAGAGCCAGAACAAATAAACACAATAGAGATCTCCATTTTAAACACATAAAATATGCATTAACCACTTTAAACACTCAAAATATTGATCGGCCATTATTGGAACCCATTTTAGGAATGAAGTAATATTCCTTTTTCCCTCTTTTTCTTTTTTTCCCCTTCTTCTCTTTTTCCCTCAAAAAAAAATAGACAGCCTAAAATAAAAATAAAAATAAAAATAAATAAATTACTGTCTCAGGTAGTTCTTTCTAGCAACATGAAAATGGACTAATACAGCCTTACTCTGCCATAGAATAACTTTTTTTTTCTTTGAGACGGAGTTTTGCTCTTGTTGCCCAGGCTGGAGTGCAATGGCATGATCTCGGCTCACTGCAACCCCTGCCTCCCAGGTTCAAGTGATTCTCCTGTCTCAGCCTCCTGAGTAGCTAGGATTACAGGTGCCTGCCACTATGCCCAGCTATTTTTTTGTATTTTTAGTAGATACAGGGTTTCACCATGTTGGCCAGGCTGGTCTTGAACTCCTGTGATCTGCCTGCTTCGGCCTCCCAAAGTCCTGGGATTACAAGTGTGAGCGACAGTGCCCAGTCTAGAATACCTATTAACTGAAGAATATGGGACTGTGAGCAAACAATGAGGTGGAAAATTTTATTCACCTTTGCTTCATGGATGATAAGGAAGGACCAGGGGTCCTAGAACTACTCAGTTTTTAATCCATCTTCCAATGGCCCATGTTGTAGAGAGCAAGCCCAGAGTTACCGCTAAGTACTGGGACAATGTGTCATATGAAGAGAAAAGAGGAGATAATAAGGAGAGTTTAACATGGATGAGGGAAAGTGGGAAGTGTTTTTAACAGCTGCTAAAAGTATAGAACTTAGGGGACAGAGAATTATGTCCCAAGAAGACTTCTCAGATGTTTTGGTGGTACATGATATGAAATCCCTGAGTAATCCAGCTTTAAGGAAACCTACATGAAAGGTTGACATTGTTTCAAAGCTTCTAGCATTTAATTCGTGTGTATGGTTCTTTTTTTTAGTGCGATGCCATGCTTATACTGAGATACATGCTTATACTGGGGCCACTAGATTTATTAGGGTTACACTGACCAGGTTACTTTCTATTCTTTATTTGGGCCTCTTTTATTGCTGTTTCCCACCAGTCACTAGACTTTTCATTGTAACTCCATATGTGATTCATATCTCAAGATATATTGGAGTTTCAAATGTGACATCTTATCTTACATTATTTGCATATTGTATTACATTATCTCTTCTCTTATATATTAGAGAAGTGGCTGGAGTTCCTTTTATTTTCTCTGCAGAATGCTGTAGTTTGAGATCACATCTTAGAGTTGGTTACTTCTGAGAAGAATTCCTATATTTGGCTAATTCCATTGTATATAAATTATCAGTATCTAGAAATTTCAGTTAGCCTCTTTCGTCAAGCCACATTTGGATTCAATTTTCAGGAAACTTAGTCGCTTTCTAAACTATTCAGAAAGTTGGAGAGGGAGGCCATGTAGGGTAGATTTAAGCATCAACCTAATTTTAATTTTTTTAATGCAAGTTTAGATAGAACCAAATATAATTTGACAGTATCCATTTTTGGCTACAGAAGATTTTTGGTAATTTGGTTCAAAAGATGTATTAAAATGCTTAGAGTTGAGCAGGACCAACCTGGCTTCCATTTTTCTGTCCCATGTCCTCATTGGTGTATTAATTTGGATAGACAGCTTGGCCTGATTTTTTCATTAGAAGATATAGTCACCATACTCATGGAAGAAGGAATCAGGGTCTGTGGACTACCTGGTGAAGGTACATAGTGAAGGGAAAGACAGAGAAGATTTGGGGTTTAAAGGATAAGGGATGTCCTATTCATTTGTTTTTAAGGAAAAAGGAAACTGAACATTTGGGTATGCAAAGAAGTCAGCAGAAAGTGAGGGATTAAAGGTGGAAATAACCACTGAAGCAAGTTCTAGAGAAGACAAAGGTAGGTTTAATCACAAACCTGGGTGGCCTTGGAGAGGAGGAAGCACATGCCATTCTCAGGGAAAGAGAAGATGGAAAAAATATAAGGCATCTGAATTGAAGGAGTTTCTGACATGACCTTAACTGTCTCCACATAATTAAGAAACAGTCAAATGACTGTGAGGAAATCAAATGCAGGTGTGGGAGTGGGAGAAGAATAGAAAAGAGGATAGTGATTTGTTTAGGAAAAAAGTAAATAAGTTCGTGTCAAGTTTGAGCACCCTGAGGGCCTAGCTGACAACCCCGTCACTACATAGCATACTTGTCAGTGTCATCATACAGCAGCCCAGAAGCCAAGTCATACATGGTTTGAGTCTGCCCAGAATTGGGGACTGGGACATGCCTGTGGAGGAAAGTCAAGCTGTCTTCTTAGGGAATCTCTGTCTGCTGAGTACCATCTAAAATGCTTTTCATGGCACCAGACCAAGGCCAAGGAACTAGAAGTTTGCTGAGGACAGAGAAGTTTTATTAGAATAGAAGGGAAGAAAGAAGTCAAATTCAGGGATGATGACTGCAGAGTTTAATAATACAGAAATGAAGTAGTTTGAAGTGATAATTTCAGTTTTCATTTGTTGCTTTGTTTCAGAACGCCAGCCAGGCCCCTCTGTGGCCAATTCTAATGCCCTCCCTTCAAGTTCAGCTGGGATCAGTAAGGAGCTGATTGATCTGCAGCCTCTCATCCAATTCCCAGAGGAAGTTGCCAGCATCCTGATGGAGCAGGAGCAGAGTATTTACCGCAGGGTCTTGCCAGTTGACTACCTCTGCTTCTTAACCCGGGACTTGGGCACTCCTGAATGCCAGAGGTCCCTGCCCTGCCTCAAAGCGTCCATCTCAGCGTCGATTCTTAGCACTCAGAATGGAGAGCACAATGCCCTTGAAGATCTGGTGGTGAGGTTTAATGAGGTAAGAAGCCACTTTTTGATGTCTTGGTATTTCACTTGCCCGTAAGTGATTTTCAAGCATCCTTCCCCTTCTAGGTTTGTCTGTTCCTGATGTATCTCATTGCCACTCTGTCTTGCCACTTCCATGATGGTTGTTGTCTTTCCAGGCAAGGAGACATCACATTGCAATCCTTCCTCTCACTGTACCCCAACTTGCCCTTAAGCCTAATTGATTTCACCTCCATTCCATAGCATTACCCAGTCCACCAATCCTAGTCCCTTTGGGCACCCAGAATGCCAATGCCCAGCCCCTTCCTCTTCCCCACCAAACCCTCATTCCCACAGATGCTTTTAAAACCACATGCCTCAATTTTGAGTTTTGACAGCATGATTCCTGGCCGTATTTGTATAACTAACCCCCTCACCCGCTTCCATTATCAGGACTTCCTCAGCAGAAACACCTGGGTCAGCAGAGCAGGTGGGAACCATGGGGCAATTCATTGGGGGGCAGTGAATCACCTCAGTTCTCTCTGCATCCCATGAAGATCCTCAGCCCCAGAAAGTCACTCCAAAGCCTCTGAGACCACATCAGAAGCTGTTCTGAAAAAGACAGGTGTGACTGGAGTGTGGGAATACTTAGGGCAAAGCCATTGTGTGGGGGTCTAGGGACTCACTGGGAGATAAAGAGCCACTGGCTGGCATCCCTGTGGCCCTGGGGCAGGGAGGAGCAGCAAGAAGGAGCAGGGAGTCTCCATGCAATGCTGGGGTCAGGGCTGACTGCCCTCTTGGGCTTAAAAGGCACTTTCTCTTAGTAATGTGACCCACACCCTGACTTTTCTATTCTACATTTTATGTTTTAGACTTAATTTATTTTGTTTTGAATATTAAATCACAAAATATTAATTGGTATGTTTGTTGGTTGTTGGCTCAACACAGATACAATAGTTTTCTATTTTGGTAATTTAGTAAACTCTACCTAAATGCTAACAGGATATTTCTATTCTGAGTCATATACATCTCTGATTGACTGAGGATCTGTCAGCCATTGTTACTTAAACACTTTCTGGCCAGGTGCGGTGGCTCATACCTGTAATCTCAGCACTTTAGGAGGGTGAGGCAGGCGGGAGGATCTATTGACGCCAGGAGTTCAAGACCAGCCTAGGCAAAATAACAAGACCTTGTCTGTACAAATTTAAAAATTAGCTGGGCATGGTGGTACACACCTGTAGTCTCCCTGGAGGCTAAGAACAGAGGATCCCTTAGCCCAGAAGGTTAGAGGCTTCAGTGAGCTAGGATCATGTCATTGTACTCCAGCCTGGGTGACAGAGTGAGACGCCATCTCTAGAAAAAAACACGAATCACTTTCTAACTGGAGCTCACTTTGTAGCCTCCATAGCTTGCCAGTCCAAATCCTGATGATGGCTGTAAATGTCGGTGACCTGATAAGGCCCAGTGAATGCAGCAAATGTTAGAGGCTGAGCTCAAGTGATTCTGTGCCCAGACATGCCCTGAACACCAGTCCATCTGGCACTGTTGTTATTTTATATGTACCACTTACTTGCTCCTTACAACAACCTTGGGAGACAGACATTGTCATGTCATTAGCTCCATCTTATCAATGGGGCTAATTTTCTAATTAATGGGAAACTGAGGTATGTGGAGATGGAGTTATTTTCCCAAGATTACACAAGTGGTAGGTGGCAATTTTGGTTTAAGCCCACATAGTCAGGCCCTGGAGCCTGGGCTTTCAACCACTATAGGATGCTGCTTCCCACCTGCAGCAGGATTGCACTGGGGGGTGGTGTCTGCTAAAACTGCAGATTCCCAGCCCCACCCCAACCCTAAACTGAGTAAGACAGAATCTCTGGGAGTCCACATGAGAGCTTGCAAACATCACTGCCCCAAAGTTGTTTTTAAAAATAAATCTCCTGATGTTCTTGATTTTCCTTACTGATAAAAATGGGATGGAAAAATGAAAGTTCCAGTAAACTGAATGATTTTATTAGTGGATTTCACTGTATTTCATGAATTATTTTTAACTTCCAGATCTACCCACTCTCACATCCTTAGGACTCTATGTTATTTTTTTTTTATTTTTATTTTTCCACCTGAATTTAAAAGTGAATTGCCAAAACTTTTAAAATCTAATTTTAAATTAAACTTGGATTTCTTCCATTCACTTCCATAACCTTGGGAATCAAAGTCGAATCAGTGATTTCACTAATTCAGAGTTAGTGATGATATGACCTACAGCTGGGTAGAGGCAGGCTTTGGACTATCTCTGAAAATAGTTTAAGCAACTTCAGAACGTAAACAAGATTTCTGGGAAAACACTTAAACTACTTAAGAGAACAGTCTGTTTCAAGTATTCTCAAGCATCTATTTTCATACAATTATGGGTATGCTGATTAAAAATCAGTCTCATATAGTCAGATCCCGAATGATCTCTACTAGACGAGACTGGAATAGCTAAATTCTAGTTCTTTGTATACCTTTAAAAAGTTTCATTACATCAAAAGAGAATTTTCAAATTCAGATTTTCACCAATTTCTAATGGCCTTGCCTTCAAATTAGCATGGCTTTACATATTGTAAAAAAAAAAGGAAGAAATGGAGTTTGCATTTATTTAATAGTTGCGCTGGACTAGACATTATATTTTCACATTTTTAGAGATCTCATTAAATTCTTATGACAGTTGTCATTATCCCTGTCTTGCAGATGAAGAAAGTGAAGCTTAGGCAACAAAATAAATAATGATAGTGCTGAATTATGGCCCATAGAGTAAAATAAATATTCTTGAGTTCATACAGATATAAATAAATCAGTGTGGTAGGGGTGAGGAGTAGGGACAGCACTTACTTATAGAAAATTTTCAATTAATAAATGTAGAAAGAATGAGAAAAATAGAAAATCTTCATTAGAACACTACAGTAATAACTGCGGCGGACAAGGACCACTGATGAATTCTAAAATTATTGGGCAAAAGTCACTTTGATGAGAAATAAGATATTTGCAAATAGTCTCAAAGCATCTCTCCACAGGATGTTTATCAATACAAAGGGAAAATAGAACAATGAAGAAACCCAGTAGACACTGGCTTGACCAAGTGATCAAGGCTAACATGATCAGTAATGAGACATATCAACATACACCTCCTGATACGATGCCCTGAGAAAGGCAGGACTTATATCTATGGTGTTCGTGCCAAAAACGCAAAACATAAATCTAGTAATGAAAAAAATATCAGACAAATCTAAATGGAAGGACATTCTACTCTTCAAAAGTGTCAAGGTTATAAAAGGTAAGAAAAAATTGAGGTACTGTCAAAGACTAGAGGAGACCAAGAGACATGACAATTAAATGCAGTGTGGGATCCTAGTGGATTCTGGACCAGGAAAAGACATTAATGGAAAGACTACAGAAACGCGGAGGCTTATAGCTTAGTCAGTATGATTGTATCAATGTTAATTTCCTGGCTTTGACAATTGTGCTATGATTATGAAAGATTCTAACATTAGATGAAGCTGGGTGAAGGGTGTACAAGAACTCTCTGTACTGTCTTTTGCAACTTTTCTGTAAATCTAAAATTACTTTAAAATAAAAAAAAATTTTTTAAGCCGTGACCTCAGAGAGACTGAGTCACTTGTCTAAGTAGCTGAGTGGATATCAGAATCCAGATCTTTTTTCAAAGTCTAGCTCTTCTTACCCAGCTGCTTCTTTCTTGTTAAATTATCAGGTGCAAGTCTGTAGTAAAACCTGACTTGCTAATTGAGAATTATTTAATTAGCCTTGGGTCTCTTTTCCCTCTTCCCTCCCTCTGTTTCTACTTCTTTTCTAAATCTTCTGTGTGTCTATCCTTTTTCTACTTCTCTTTCTGTTTCTATTTCTATCCAATTTTCTGTTATCTAGGTTTCTGCCATCACTCCCTCATTCATTCATTCATTCATTCATTCATTCATTCTTTCACTTATTTGTTTATTTGAACTTTTAGTTTTAATTTTTGTGGATACATAGTAGGTGTATATCTATATGGGATATAAGGGATAATTTGGTACAGGCCTACAGTGGTAATCACATCAGAGTAAATAAGGTATCCACCATCTCAAGCATTTATGTGTTGTATTAAAAACAATCCAATTGCACTCCTTTTGTTATTTTTAAATGTACAATTAAATTATTATTGACTGCAGTCACTCTGTTGTGCTATCAAATACTAGATCTTACATTTTTTCTAAATATTGTATGTCCTCGTTAACTATCCCCACTTCCTCCCTCACTCTCCTCTACTACCTTTCTCAGCCTGTGGTAATCATTCTTCTACTCTCTGTCTCCATGAGTTCAATTGTTTTAATTTTAGCTCCCACAAATAAGTGAGAACACACAGAGGTTATCTTTCTGTGCCTAGCTTATTTCACTTAACATAGTGACCTTCAATTCAATTCATGTTATTGCAAATGACAGATCTCATTCTTTTTTATTGTTGAATGTATTTATAGACTACATTTTCTTATCTATTCATCTTTTTGATGGACACTTAGGTTGCTTCCAAATCTTGGCTATTGTGCATAGTGCTGAAATAAACATGGGAGTGTGGATATCTCTTCGATATATTGATTTTCTTTCTTTGGGGTATATACCTACTTGGAAGCGGGCTTGCTAGATCACTGAAGACATACTTACTGGCCGGGCATGGTAGCTCATGCCTATAATCCCAGCACTCTGGAAGGCTGAGGTGGACAGATCGCTTGAGCCCAGGAGTTTGAGACCAGCCTGGGCAACATAGCAAAACCCCATCTCTACAAAAAGTATTAAAAATTAGCTGGGCATGGTGGCACATGCCTGTGGTCCCAGCTACTTGGGCGTCTGAGGTGGGAGGATTGCCTGAGCCTGGGAGGTCAAGGCTGCAGTGAGCCAAGATTGTGCTACTGCACTTCAGCCTGAGTGACAGAGTGAGACCTGTCTCAAAGAACAGACACCTTCTACATAGAGCACCTACTACGCTCTAACCTTCTCTTTTTTCCC